GGGAGAGGGAGGTCTGGGCCTCCCTTCTGAAGCTGCTGCCCCCGCGACCCGACCCCGGATAGGCGGAAGAAAATGGATGGATGGATGGATGGACTAAAAAAAAACTGGTGAGAACTTAAAAATAAAATAATAAACTCTTCTTTTTTTTTGTAAATAAGGGTCAAATCATTTTCTTATAAGACTGAATAAAAAAAGATCAATGAATGCTATTGACACATAAAAACAAAGATAAAGTGTTGCAGGTAGCCTACATGAACATCCAACAATGCACACTGTTTTTTATTCATATAAATAAAATGGGATTGTTATTATTTTCCAACTTATATTTTTAAAGCGTTTTTAAAGATTTTTGGGCTTGTTTTATAACTGTAAACAATACATGTGTATTTGTTTTACAACAAAACTAGTAATTACAAAATTTGTAGTTTAAAGGATCTGTAATGGGAACATTTTATATTCAAATTCCTTGTAAACACAGCAATCCCATGAAAGTCAGACAAACATGAAATGATTTAATCAGGAAAAAGCCAAAGACTCAAAACATTAATCTAAGAATATATGTGCTCAGTGCACTTTGTCATTTTTATATATTTTAGTAACAATTATTAAGCTGTACTGTGTTTTAAAAGACGATGAGTGACCACTCCAGAAATACTTTGAAAAAATATATTTTTAACAAGTTTCATTTTGGCTACAAAAAACAAAACAGTGCCACCAACAGGACACTTTCATAATAACGCTTCTGTTTGTGATGAGAACTTTATGGCCAAATAATAAAAGGTTGTCTCTCTTCAGGAAGTACAAACACTGTTTTAATTTCCTAAAGCAACAAATAACTGATGCAAAAACAAAATGAAATCCACGTCATTTTTAATACTGTACATTTTATAATTTTATTATTTTTTTTTTGACTTTCAATGATAAATCTTTTTCTGCTCAACAATTTCCACGTGTTGAGAGGCAAATGCTATAGCATAATTTTTTTGTATTTATATTAGCTTGTAGCAAAATCAGTTTGAAGGTCCCATATAAATAGGAATGATAAAAGGAAAAAAAAGTGCATTAACTGAGATTCCTCGTTCATTTTTAAGAAGCACAAACGGAGAGAAAATAATCATTTTCACTTCTGAGGGGAGAAGCGTATTACTTTACTATCTCAGCAAAAAGCTTCCGCAAATACTGTGTAAGATCCTTTTTGGTTAAAATCTTTAATAAATTACATTTTTTAAAAAATGGCACCACCTTCAGGTGGTAGTGTGTCATTATTGTTGAAATCTGTTTTCAAGAATGATCATTTCTTTTAAGCAGCCCAGATTAAAATTAAATTACATTAAAATTACCTGGAGCTTAAAAGCGTTATTTTTTTYATCCCACTTACAGTTCTGAAAGCCAAGCAAACCTAGACACAAAAAAAATATTTTTTTTAACTGTCAAAATTTCTTAACTGTTGGTAAACAGAAAGTCTTGCAGTTTTGGGACAAAATTATTTATCTTTGCAATCTGATACTACAAACCCAATGGTAGGAGGCAGGTTCAACACCCGAAGGGAAAATAATTCCAATCCAACAAAGTGTCCTGATGCATCTCAGTAATCCAGGTAGAAAAAAAAAGATAAAAACCAAAAGTAAGTTAGTCCTCTGGACGGGTTCTTCTTTAATGAAACGTTTCTTCTCTCCTCCAGAAGACGTTTTCAGTCTGAAGCCTGAAACCTCTCAGACTGAAGAGGTCTCTTGGAGAAAAGAAACATTTCATTAAAGAAGAACCTGTCCAGAGGACTGAGTTACTTTTTTTTTAATTCAAAGTATTAATGTCGATACCTTCCTTATTTTGTAAATTTACCCTTTCATTATTTTTACTTAGTGCAAACCACCTGTGGTTTTAATAAGAGTTTGTCTCTGCGTGTGTCTAAGGGTTTAACTGATGATTTTCTGATCACATGGGGTCAGTAGTCTGAGAGCTTCAGGGCTGACGGCGTTCCCTCTTGGTGAGCAGGTAACACTGGATGGTTCTCAGTCGATCTTTGGCGGGGGCGAACTCCGGCTGCAGCTTCAAAGTAGACTCGTACCAGTGCATGGCYTTTTCAAACTCCTCCTGTTAGCAAAATGAACACACAGATGGTTGATCGAGAATTAAACGGATTAAACAGGACCTGGACAACAACATGTGACACAGTTTGATTTTGCTGCTTACCATTGCGATGTAGACATTGGCGAGAGTAAAGTGGTTTACAACAAAATGAGGGGCGATTTCTACTGCCATACGTGCCACCGTTAGAGCATCCTCCCATAACCTAGCATTCTGAAAGATGTTGGCCAGGCTGATGAGTGGAACATCCTATACCAGGAATAAGAAAATAAATAAATTACAAACAGAAACAGAAGGACGCACACAGTCTGTATCTAACTGGCCTTCATGTGATGAGGAGCGTGGTTGAGGGCRTGTCGCAGGCAGTCGATGGCTCTCTTGCCTTGGCCTTTTACTCTCCAGTACAGTGCAGCCATACTCGATAATACCCAAGATGTTTGATTCTATAGTTTTGTTATGGAAAAGAGAGAAAAAAAGCATATTTATTTATGAATAAAATTTATGTAGTATTTAATGTGTTATGTAGCAATATTAAAACACAATCAGAAAAAACAAACTGCAGTTGTTAGGTTTGTTAATACCAAATAAGCAGGATTGAAACTTAAGTCTTAAAACTCAAAACCTTGCTAACACATCCTGCTTTCATATCTTTGTCCAAGCAGAAAATTAAACTTTAAGGACAAATAAGGAAATTATTGTACCAGTTAGAATAAATGCAACAATAAAACAACAGATCTTGTAAAAAGAAAAAGGAAAAAATATATATAAAAAAACATTATAAAGCATTATTCGTTAACTTCCTTACCTTTTCCAGTACTTTTGCAATACGTGTGCCCACCTGCTCAAAGGACTGGGGGGAGAACTTATCTTTACCAAGGTTCTGCAGGACCTTAAGAGTTAACAAGAAACAAGTGAGACAAAACAAAACAACTAGGTCTGCTAATTATTTAATAACAGTATGTGAAATGTATGCTTTTCCATAAAATACAACACAGTTTATTTTCCAGACTCAAAATGCCCCACGATTCAGCTTTGTTCAAATGTATTATATTTAACAMTATACATCTTTCACAAATCAACCTAAAACCATTCATACTGTTAAACAGCATATACTGTATGGCAATGAAATCATTTTGAACATAATACTAGGAAATAATAGTTTTAAGTTTTGTGTGATTCATACTGCTTTCCGTAAAAAAAAAAAAAGGAAGAAAGAAACATCTTAAAACACACACACAGATTTATAAAGTTTGTATTCAGTTTGCATGTTGCATGGTATGGTTTGTTGACTCAAGTASAGTCTGTGGTCTCTGCCTCAGCCTACCTCACGCAGTTGGCCCTCCCCAGTGTAGTGAATGGCGGCCCGATTGGCTACACCTGCCAGGTGGTCCAGGGTGTGCATGCTAGCAGCCAAGTTGGCATTGCATAAAGGTTCAGCCGCTGGCTCCTGGAGCGGAGTGGCAAAGTCTATGTGCTCGGTGATGCTAGTGAGAAGTGGTGAACAGAATGAAAACGTYAGACAGAAGAATGCTGCTGAAATGCTGTAATGCTGAAACAGTCGAGGCAGCAAAGCTTTTTCTTTTACATATTTAATCTTTATAGCTCACTGAGATGACTTTTGTWGTAAATTAGCAGGGTTAGGGGTTATTGCAAGTACATACATGCAATAACTTATTTTTTATTGAATTTTGAACAAAAACACTTCAAAGATCTTACTCAATATTCTTTGCAGAAACAGCCAGCCAGGTACTAGCTACAGTGGTGAGGTCAACCCGTCGTGTCCGTTGGCACTCCTCTGGTCCTGGCCAACCAAGGCTTGCATAGTCTCTCCAGCGCCCTGCTCAAAAACAAAACATTCCTCTCATTCACTTTTTTATTTTATCTATGATGTTGCAGTTAAATAAAATGTAGTTTTGTTTGTTACCTGAGGGACCAGGGGATGGGATAGTCGGACCACTGATCTCCAGGACAGAGTTCCCTGCAGATACTGACTCCTCAGTCTGGCTGTCATCAGAGATGACAACATTTTCTAAACCGTCCCCCTTAGGTTTCCGGACCCTCTTTACCTGGAAGGTAATCTGAAACCCAACAACAACAACAACAACAACAACAAAAAAAAAGACAATTTCAGCAATGATCTTTACCAATTTAAAACACATTTCGCCATGTTATTAATATTTCATAAAAAATTGGTCAGTTTCCACACTTACCCACTCCGCTCCATCATCATCTTCACAATTTCCAAAGCATGGCCCACTTCCTGCCCGAGCCCCCATTACACGGTCATTCTTCAGCACTCGGATCCCTCTCAGGTCTCCGTGTTTCCCTCCTACATCCAGAGCTCCTTCAAATGCTCCCATCAGTTCCTCCTTCAGCTGCCATTCCTCCTCTTTTTTCACTCCTGCGTCTCCTAACGATGGGGTCATTTTAGCTGTTCCTGAGCTAGAGGGCTCCTGTGCAGCTGCTTCGCCAGAACCATTACTATCCAAGATGACCTCTGGAAGGTCAACAAGACAGGCGTGAGCACAAGACAAACGAGAGAAGTTTTGTTGACCTACAAAACAAACTAYTCTGGGTACACACAACATCTGGTCATTTATTCATTTTATTTGATAAGTGTTTTGGTCAAGGCAGAAAATAAAGCTAAATTAAATGTCAGGTTACTAATACTACTTTCTAATATACAAGTAAATACAAAAASTATATTAAAACCAAATAAAATTGTAAACAATGCGCTATTTTCTGAAACAACCTTTGTTGCAAAGCTTTAGAAATACTTTCCTAACTACTTAAACTTAAAAGAAGTCACATTCTTACTCTCAAAGAGCAGTGTATCTTCTAAGGCRGAAACTGCAGCTGTATCCTGCTTCTCTTCGCTGTCCTCCCATTCCTCCAGCTGTATGCTTAGATCTTCCTCAGACATACTAACACCACCCTCTGCATCAACACAAATATTGTTTTAGGTACTTTTCAAATCACTGTCAGGGTGACGAAAATATACAAGAAGTTTAGAATAAACTAAATACACTCAGATGCAAAAACAACCAACATGTCAAGTGTGGTTTAAAACTGTGTTTTTGTAAAAATCTGAAAATGTTAAATACTGCATCTCATCTAAGGGAAGGTAACATAATCGATTCAGCAATGCATTGCAATTCTTTTTTTTTGCAATTCAATATCGATTCAGAAAATCCTGTGAATTGATTTGATCTCCTGGCCAGTTTGTGCTTCGGTCAGGAGCAATCCGGAATGACTTTAATTGTCTCTGTCCAGTCTGTGATAATCGCGGGATGTGTCATGGGCGTTGGTCAAAACAAAACTCTAGGAGCAGAGACAAAACAGATAAATGTAAACTCCAGCTAAAGTATCCAGAAAATAAGGAAACTGTGGCCTGGCTGCAGCCTGACGGCAGTCAGGGAGGTGGAGGAGTTTGTTTGGGGGAAAAAAAGGAGCCGTTGGACGTGTGTAAAGGTAAGCTAGTGTTGTGCTAACAGCTGTTTAGCTGCTAAGGGAGCACGCATAGCCTGTATGTCTCGGTCACTTTAATATTTGAGTAAAACTTAACACTGAAAAACCTAAGTTTGTATGACCAAGACTACAGCCAAGGTCTACAGTTACAGTTGATGTCTATGTGTCCCCATCCCACCAAACAAAGTTTTCGCTGTGAGATTATTGTCAGATATTCATAGTTAATGTGAAAATTTGCAATTTTCAAATTTACACAGGATTTTAGCAAAATAAAGTGAGGTGATGACACATGTTCTGTGTTGCCTCCTGGCTGCAGGATTACAGCTTTATTACAGAGTGTTGATGATGACAAGGCTACTTTCTGTTGAGTTTAAAAAATGAGGTAATCACAACATGAATCCACAAAGTATGGAGCTCTGTAAGGACCGTTGGAATACATATATTATTACCTGCCCCTGTAAAACAACTGATTTACCTCAGGCTCTGATGTAGGGAAGCACAGACCCCACTGCCCCAGTCATTCTGTGTCATAAACTGTTCTTCACAGAATGGCAAGAGTAAAAAATATATATTATTTCATTCCCATCACCACCACAAAAAAGTTTCAGGTTCAGGATTTTCTTTTACTTTAAGCTTTGCGGTTTGTCAGGTTTTATGTTTGCACTCTATATTTTGACAACATATTATTGTTCTACTGCTTTGTTTCCAAACATTTTATTTCTCTAAAATGTTGTGTATTTTCTGTTTATATGGACAAGAAAATAAATATCTAAAACTTATCCCCAGGAACGCTAACAAACTATTTGTGTACTTATCATTAGTAGGAAATTGATATCAAATCACCGAAAGCAATTATTGAAATTGAAGCAAAATCAAATCAAATTGTGACACAAATAACTGCAATTGAATTGAATTGTGAAATTGTTAACAACACCCAGCCCTAATCTAATTTTATTTCACATAAGCACCTGGAGAAGAGTGATTAATGTTTAGTCAAAATTATGTACACAAAAGTTGGATTCTGTTTTTGCTGAAGCTACATCATGGCAGATTTTCCTTTGGTGTCAAAGCAAAATCTGCCAAAGTCTCAAGCTTTTTATTATCTTTAAAAACTATTACATTTTAAAAAGTTATACCTTAAAACCTAATAGGGCAAAAAATAAAATAAAAAAAAACAAACTTAACCCCAATGGGGTTTAAGTTACTCACGTGAGCCAGACTGTCGGTGGGAAAGATTGTAAAGGGAGGGGTAGAACTGAAGACATCGCAGCAGAGGTAGGATGGTGCGACACTGTTCACAGCCAGCAAAAGAGAAGGAAGAGGACGAGGACAGGGTCGATTCCAGGATGTGGCGGAACAAAGCCAGAGCAACTGTCACATTGCTCTGGGCCAAATGCACACTCACCAGGCTGAGCAGGGTGTGAGGCTGAGGGAGGAAAACAAAATAAGACAGGGGAAAATTAGCTAATGGGTAACATGTGAAAACTGACACAAAGATTTAGCAGATGTTTGTGTACCTGGAGCTGACAGACGTAAAACTAGAATAAGACAGTCCAATCAGGCATGCAGTGGCATTTTCTAGGAGGTAAAGTTTGTCTAATAACGGCTACTGCCTTGAATAATTTTCAGAATAAAATATTATACAAGCACTACAGTTTGTGACTTTTTTAATTGGCTTTTATTGCCAGTTATGTTTACATATTTAAACTTTTGTTTTTGTTTTTTTCACCCCAAAATTTGATTTGACAAAATCAACTTCTTAAGTTCAATTTAGGGCTGGGTGGTATGACCTCAAACTCATATCACGGTATAAATTGAACCCCTTCACGGTAACGGTATTTATCGCGGTAGAGAATTATCATAAAAAGTTAAGATAATGTAATTTTTAGAGTTTTTTTTTTTTGCAGAAAACTGTAATCTTAATGAAACCCAATGTTTTTGCTTTAATATTTGCCTGCCAAACAATGAGCTTCAGCCTGCTGAACTTATCAGCWGCTGCTCTGCTGCACGCTCATCTTCATCATCATCAGAGCGGAAGCCGACTTTACATTAGCAAGATGGATTAACGACTGAACGAACGTCCACGTCTTTTTTTTAATAATCTCTGTGGGTAACAATACATAAAAAAAACAAKTTTTTTCTCCGACAAGTGGGTGTGAAAAACTACAGTTGTTAAAGCTTCACTCTGCGCGACRTGCAGTGAGAGGAGAGGAGAGGAGAGGAGAGGAGAGGGAGGGAGGGAGGAGGAAATGATCCCGCGACACAATGTACGTAACCTTTCTACAGCTGGAGGAGGAAATTTTGAGGATGTATTCTCTCTGTACGTGTTTTAAAATGCTAGAATTTCTTCATTATATTTCGAACTCCTGCTCCATTGTCTCTGCACTCACAGCCCTGTTGACACAGGTGTGATGACGTAATGGCGATAGGACGGTAGAGTATAAATTTCTACCGTAGCCCAACTTCATATCATTTCTACCGTCTACCGCACATACCGCGCAGCCCTAGCTCAATTAATGGTGAATCTATAAAAGAAAGTGGAAAAACTACACTCACTTGTGTATTATTGTCTTGTCATGGTTTGTTCAACTGCAACATAGTGAAAAGGTTTTAAATCAGTGTCTCTTTACCTCTGATGCATTGAGTGCCAAGGCATGCTCCAGTAGTGTTTGTGCTTGAGTGGTCAAGCCGTGGTGCAGCAGCAGGTTAGCAGCATTGGTGAGAGGCAAGTGGCGGTGGGATGGCGGCGCTGAACTCAGCGCTTGTCGCAGGCACTGCAGGGCACGGCTGCCATTGCCTTTGGCCCGCCAAAATAGAGCCGCCTCATTGTGGACCTGCCACCGAGGTATAGTAGTCTGTAAATACAAACAGATAGGTTAGTTCTGGTGGAACAACTTAGTATGACATCAGAGAAAAAAAAGTTTAAAAGCATGGGAGTGTGGCTGGAATAGTTCCTCATCAAATCTGAGATGTGATGCAGACTTTTTATTAACCAGACACGACAAGTTAACTGTGTGTGCACTAACTTAATGTCATGTAAATTCTGATTAAATAGTCAGAACATGCTATGCGCCGTTCTCTCTCCATTGTTTTGAAATTAAATATATTTTCTAGTTGGTAGTGGGTTAGAATTTGCTGCTGTTAGAACAGAGAAGTGAAAAACCTTTACTTGTTTCATAGCGTGAGCAATTCTGTTGCCAATTTGCTCCAGTGTAAATCCTCCACTGCGTACCCCTAATACCTGTAAACACAAAAATATATTTTATTGATCAATCTTTTTTTTCTTCTAGAAAACACTTGGACTCTGAGTAAAGATGTAAAACCACAGTATATCTATTTATRCTGAATGTTGATTACAGTCAAGTTTGTGATGACAAAAAAAAAGAGATACCTCAGAGGCGAAAGGATCTGGAAGCTCATTTTCTTCCAGGGGCCAGTCTAATGAAGCAGGCAGAAGGACTGGGTACGGCTGGGGGACAGGGCTACAGTCAGGTATACCTACAGCCTGGGAAGGGCCGTTGCTGCCATAGAGCAGAGTTGCCACTGGGCTGAATAAACACAAACAAGAAATATTCAATCTTTTTAAAATTCATATTCATACAGAGTTCTAGAGCTACAAGCCTATGTTTTCCCTAAAGACTGTTCTATGGTTCTTTATKAGATTGATGTAGTCCACAGTGTGGCACATGTTTAGTGATCTATTTACACTGAAYCTGATTATCCTATTAAAAAACAATAAACATTACATTTCAGCTACATTACCATAATATCACTAAGGGGCAAGACATAATAAAAGGAGAGCAACTGTGGAAATGACAGACAGTAACAAAGGACTGTTTTACTAATCCAATGTAATCCAATAGCCTATTGTCATTTACTAAACTTATTTAACAGCAACAATATCTACTTTTTTTTTTATTAATTAAGGTTGTAGTTCACTTGAAAAAAAAGTTTTGATTTTGTGCAAATTATATATATTTTAAAAAATAAATAAATAAATAAAAATAAAACAGTTTGCATAAAACATGGAACGTAGTCCTGGTTAACACAACTGTGCTTGACCTCATCTTTCAAGACAAAATATCTGGTGTGCTCCAGACTACACTGAACATATTATTACACAAATAATAAGAACTCAAAGAAATATGGCTGCTTCAGCAAGCTTATAWTTGTATTCAAAATAAACTGGGTCAGTTAACTACTGATCATAAAGAACCATCCTTACATTTATTTTATTTTTATTTTTTTTTGGGTACATTTTTTGGATGGTATGATGGTAGTTTTGTATCCTGCAGTATATAACCTTAATTAATAAACAAACATTCCACAGACCATGGCTTGTAATTCTACAATTATGTTTTCTCAAAAGAAATAAAAAAAAGTAATAACAGCCAGTTCAGGACGATGTACTGACCCGAGGCCCTGGGTTTCAGGTGAAAGGTAATAGGTTGGCAGCAAGTGAGCGGAAGGTACAGTAGAGTACTTCTGTACACAGTCTGTCCTCTGAGGCCACAAGATCTTCTGTATGTCCTAAAGGTAAAAGCACATTTTTAGCAACTCATTCACATARACATATTTTTGTGTGAATTAAAAAAAATTGTATCATTCGTCATGCGTTCTTTTTTTTACAGATTTTATAATGTAGGTAAAATAAAGAATGTATTTATAAGAACATAAACATCGTTTACATTCACTGTAGGGTTGGGCAATATTGTCAAAAAAATTAATCACGATTAATCGTGGTATTTAGCCGATAATGATTAATTTGACGATTAATCCCCCCGAGTCCCTGGACACCCTTGTATCCTAGTCACTTGACCAATTTATAGGGAGAAAATTTGCTCTTCGTAAAAACCTGTTCCAAATTGTTTCAAAATGACAGACTTCAGGCTATACATCAAACTTTAAATTGTGTTGATAGATTAAAAAAATTACACAACTTTTTTTAATGTTGGTCATATCTGAATGAGAGAGGAGCACCAAGCAGTCAGTCTGCCTGGTGGCATTAATCGTATTAATCGTCAAGTGCCAAAAATTAATCGATTAATGTTTTTCTGACGATTAATTGCACACGATACGATTATGCCCAACCCTAATTCACTGTATTTGAAAGAGTGTTCAATTGCACCAGAGGACCCCACCCCCCACCACCACCACCACCACTACACACGCACACACTATTGTTTTCTAATTAGGAGCAAATCCCCCTCAAAAAATAAAAAATAAAACAAATAAATAAAAACAACCTTTAAACTCATAGTTCTCTTATCTTGCCTGTGTGTAATCTTGATGGCTCCCCCAGAGGGCAGCAACAGGGTCCTGATTTCCCGACACAGATGGATGGAGTCTGGGGCTGGCTGCTGTCTGGTTCGAGTTGCGTTCTGACACAAGTGCCACACTGGAAGCCACAGACACATCCTCCCCAAACTTTGTACAAAAAGAAAACCAAAATATAAGATACATAAGATTCCTAAAATGAACTATAAAATGATTCTGTATTCCATTTACTTTTACTTTGGTCAAAATTATTTATACACTTTGAGGTGTGTTACATTGAAAAGCACATAATGGGAACAGTAAGTTTGTACCAGATGGGAAGGATTAATTTACGGCAGAATGTTGTGGTTGATGCAGTGGTTAAGTGTTGCCTTGAATATTAACAGAATCACCAACAGTGTCACCAGCAAAGCATACTTCATTGCTGATCCTCTACTGAGTCAAACATGTAAATACAATCTGTCCACCATCTGTGGTTTTCCCAAAAGACGCAGTGATTGCATCCAAAAACTCTAAAATTTGGACTCAGTGGACACTAAAGTAAGTTTTCACTGGTTTGATATTCACTCTGTGTGTCTTAATCAAGATTATTTCAACTGTTCTTGTTAATTTTTGGAGATGGAACAAGATCCTGATTTCCTGATTCATACAGTTACGCAGGAAAGTTACATGCTTTGAAATGTTTTGAGAGCTGGGACTCTCTATGTATGTGACATTGTTAAAATTATGCTCTTCTACAAATGTAAAGCCTAGTTTATAGTCCATAAGAAATCAGACATTATGTCTCTCTGAAGTGGTTGTGTGGCAATAGTTGCATATTTTTCTTCTCGCACCCCACTGCTGACACCCCATCTTGTGCACAAACCTCTGATAGAATTATCCCTTACAAGAAATGTGCCAAGTGTTGTGTGATTAGTCAGAACTTTGTGGGAATGTTTGTCTGGGAAAAGTAGCAGCAGTAAGCTGCTCATTTCTGCTTGCTGAGGAGCAGCTAGCTGAGGCTGGAAGAGGCTAACCAATAGCCAGAAGTAGAGAAACCACAAGGCAGGACAAAATTAGCCATAAGTAGCATTTGCAGAATTAACATTCACAGGGCAGAGCTAGCACTAGCAGAGCAGAATATAAGTTAAAGGCAGAACATAATTAGCCTTGCTATGGTAAAATTAAACTTAGCTGGGCAGAATTGTCACTAGCAGGACAGAATTAGCATTAGCAGGTAAGTAAAAAAAATGCTTGGTAAATTGAGCATTAGTAATGTTTAGATTAAAAAAAATAATCTTTGAAAGAATAATAAGGCAGCGATAAAAAAGAAAATGGAAAACAGTATGAATGCCAACTCTGTGTTCAGACAAAAACAATAATGATAAAAAAAAAACATTGGAATGACAAATGACCACACATTTGATTTGTACAATGTGTCCTACATTTCACTAACTTACTTGGACATACTGGACATGTTCGAAAAGGTCACCCCGGTGATAACGCACAGGCAGGTCAAAGGGGCAGTAGAGGCTGCGCTGCTGTTGACCAAGACGGCACATCTGATGATTCCCTAAAACACACCACACATCCAACCCTCAGGTGCTGCTCCCCACTGCAACATCATTCATTGCTTATAAGCATGCAGGTGCATAATTACTGGGCAACTGGAAACTCACTTTATTTTACTATGCATATAGTTCAACTCTAAACCATTACAAACATAAATGACTATCGAATTTAATCATTTACTAGTGAGGACGTGGCTTAGAGATAAACTACTCAGGTGACCATTAACAATCAGAAGCATTGTTGTTAATGGTTAATAGAATGACAAACATTTAAGTGAAAAGAACAGACACAAACTAACAATGAGTTTGGAGAAAAAAATTAAAAAAATGCTTTAAGGTATGTGATTTTTCACAGATCTAGATAAAGTTAAACATATTTGTATTTGACTTAAAAACCAGGTTTTAAAGGGGTTAAGAAAGTCAGTTTTTATGATAGATTGTGGTGTGGCATTGTGTTATAATGGAGGACTCTGTTCAGAAGCTTAAAGCTTGTAGCAACAGCATAGCCCCATCTATTACTGAAGCTAATCAGGCAACCTTATACAACAATTGCTTCAGAATCAGAGGGGTTATTAGATAAATAAAACTATTATTGACTATTGTAAAAATAAAGCTAAAATTGTGTAGGGTCCACAAATGTGACAACACAGCTTCCAACATTTTTACTTGTTCTCAATAAGTGCGTGAAGTTAGTCGTTTTAGGAACAAAACAGAGTAATACAGTACYATTGTGATTTTGTTCTAGTAACCATGAGCTGCATTTTAAACTGCATAGAACATGCTAAATTATCATCTACACACATATATTAATATTAACTCTTGATCAGTCCTAATTTAGTTATTGTACATGGCATCTCACCAAGCTGAGCTTCTTTGGCCATCTGTGTTTCATGGATAATGTTGCGCAGGATCTGCTCTTCCTGCAGCAGCTTGTGTTTGTCCAGTGCCTCCTGTTGGCGCAGGTAGTGGTCATGTTGCTTCTGATACTCCTTCAGCTCGTTCAGTGTCCGCTGCAGGGATCTACAACCATGGGATAATAAAGATGAAACATACAGCRTTGTTGGCAGAAAAGCAAAGCAGAAATTGGCAAAAAGAAAACACAACCATTGTGCCAACTCTACGTACTTTTCTTTTATTTACATGCAGTACTTGGCTTGCCATATCAATACATTTATGTGTGCTTATCAGAAAAAAAAGACACAGTGTTTACTTTTCCTTAAAGTCACAACTGAACTCTGGAATTTGGCTGCAAACCTTCGGTACCACCTATTTTTCATCTACAAACCAATTAGTAAAACTGTTTCTGAACCTAAACATGCACTGAGCAAATTTACCCTTTTTAAGGAAAACTTTTCATCAAAACCAAAGAAAAGCACATTTTTTTTCCCCAGATACACTAAAAAAGGATCTGAAAAAGAAGCTCAGTGCATGTGCAAAGGATCTCGCCTACCTGTGCTGGGCTTCCAGGCGCTGCTCCAGTTTTTGCTGACAGAGCACAGCATGTTTCCTCCTCAGGGCCTGCTCAAAGCCTGGCTGGGCCTGCAGTGCCTGCTCATAGCACAGCACTGAGTGGTTGTATTCCCCAAGCATCTGGTAAGACAGCAGCAAAAAAAAAAAATAAATAAATAAAGACATATAGACTTTAGTTATAGTACAGGTCAGGGTTTGAGTTGTTTCAAGTAGAAATCAAAGTAACAGACTAAAAATAAAAGAGTTGTACACACTGAGTAAAGCTCTTGAGACTCTTAAAGTACTGCATTATCAGTGTATGATAAAAAAACTGTTATTCTTATTTAGTACCAAGATATTTTTATCCAAGAATACAAACCAATAGAAATATCTACATCTTCAAGTCTAAATATTTTTTTTATAAAAGGAATATAGGTTTTCAGGATTTTGATTGTTTGATTTAAAGATTGAGTGGAAATGTATATTATTTTTACTTACGGCATAAATGTTACCCAAAGTGTAGTGACTGGTGAAGAAATCTGAGGTTAGGTCAAGAGCTGCATGGGCGAGAATTGCAGCATCTGCTGAGAAGTGGGCGCGGTGCAGAATGTTGGCCATGTTGATCAGTGCCACATCCTTGTGCTGCCTGCAAGAACAACCAACATGCACAGACACACCTGTGAGCAGTCTTGCGCAAGAAYGGGTGCATTCGTGTAGAAGCCTTCTGCCTGGCATGACGTTACCTTGGAGAGAAATGCAAAGCACGCACTACACAGTCCACTGCCCTCTGAGGCTCATTTTTCATTCGCCAGTAAAACGATGCCATGTTGTACAGCACCCAGGAAGATGAATTCTGGAACACACACACACACAAAATATTAAATTAATGCAAAGTTGTTTTTTTTTAAACATCTTAATAAAACCAACAACATGTACGCATAACAAACAAGCATGGGTTAAAGCGAAAAAAATATTTTTGATTGAAATATTTTTAATAACCGCTGCCGCCTCACCACCACACACTCAAGTACTTTATACTGGTAACGCTATCCTGTGTAATTTGACTAAAGGCATGTGTACATTTATCCTCCTAACATTATGAATTGTGTACAAGTCCTTAGTAAAAATACACAGTATTTTTCCACCAATGAAGCGAAAGAATTTGAYCTGAACCATTTGGATYAAAGAGATTTGTAAGGAAGAGGCTGACTTTGAACAGCTATTCTGTAGTTTACWGTTATGTAACTTTATTGTTTWAATTAAAATTAATACMGTTTTTGGTAAGTCTTGTGTCAGRTAGTCATACAAATATTTAAAGGGGTTATATCATGTAAAACCAACTTTTTTTGAGTTTTATATCATGTTATAATGTTATCCTCTCATCAAAAACATGTCCAGAGTCTTGCTTTGACTCATTCATGAATGTTTGAGAAATCCTGTAGTGTCCTGAGGCAGCCAGGCAGGGGGGCAAAAACCACTGGTTGGGAYTAGAACCGCCTTTTGGGACCCGCTCCACCTCTGGGCTGTGTCTCCAAGCTGAGCTTCCTCATCACAAAGCACACCTCCCCACCCCCGCACCCCGGCCGTGACTTCTGCAGGCTCTCAGCAGCAACAAAGCAAACAACTGGTGAAACTGAAAGTGAAACTGTCTGCTGAACTCCCAATACCACCTCTGAGAAGCAGCCCTTTTCAAATTCAAAATACCCGCTCCTCTCACGTGTTGAAATGGGTGAGACAGAAGYGGAAGGAGGTTCTTAAAGAGACAGAGGCCAACTTCAAGGTGTTTAGAAACGGAAATGACGAGAAGAAGAGTTTATTTTCTATTTAAACATAAAAAAATGACATTTTAATAACAACTAAAGGTGACATAGATACTTTATTATGGTATAGAACTTAAATATATGCCTGAGAAACACATAATGTTGCCTCTAACCATCTCCATAACCTTTCAGTGCAAGGAAACACATTATATGTATGTGCTATAATTTATGCCAAAAAAATTAAAGTACATATCTGTCTTTTGCACAGCACAAAAGAACTTAAAACTACATTTTTATTAGTAAGACTGATTTATTTTTTAATTACTATTTTTGTTTAAAAAGATTATATTTTTAAATGTTATAGCTCATATAATCATTTAATAATATTTATTCTTCATATTTGATCATTTATTGAATTACATTTATCAATTTATCACAGAGCATTTTTGTCAAAGTAAATATAAATATAAACAAGCTTAGCACATCCAAAACCTTGTTATTTCTTTAAAACTGTGAAGAATTAAATGTGTATACTTAGACAAACTACAAAACACATTGAAACACTCACCTAGAGAACATGGTGACGTTCTCCTGGCGATGGGGGGTGGTTTAACATTAAACGAAGATTAATCTTCGCTTTAATATGGGGCTTTAAAATGGGGCAAACAAATGTTCGTCTGTTAGTTRATATTGTTTAATTAGAAAAACTCAAACAGTGAATCTCATGGACTCACAGCACTGGCAGCGTTCTTCCAAGGCTTAGTTCGGGCTTTAGGTACTCGCGCAGGGTGCGCATGCACCCTCGCCAGCGATGGAGGTGTTTATACTTGGCGCTTACATTGCTGTAGTATTCTCCAAAAGGATATGTGGCAGAACACTTAATAACCTGTGAAATTTTGTAGGACAGGAGAACAAAAGCTTGACGAACGAACCATTTAAATGTTGTGCGGCGTGCGCAGTTTTTGCATGAGGAGCTCRGTGATGCGCGCAAAGCTGGACTTTTCTGTTGAACGACGATGCTCTGAACACATAAATATTTAATATAAGTGAAGTTTTACAGACCAAAGTCACTCTTTGAATATATTATTTTGTAAATTGAAATTATAAAAATTTTATGAGTTGGTTGATTATAATATCTTGCAGATTGTGTATAAGGCTCATAATTTTTTTTTTTACCTTTAAACACCAATTTATATTTGTTAAGAGAGAAAGTTCTTATAATCTTAAAGGACTTGAGATGTTTATTAAACCTAAAATTCGAACAAACTTGAGGGACCGATGTACTTCTGTTCAAGGAATAAAATTGTGGAATAATCAGGAAAGTGATTATAAAAATGCCGGTTCAATGTATTTCTTTAAGAGAATGATAAAAATAAGTTTGTTAAAGAAACATGAAATTGTATACTGTATCAAAATTTGTTGTTTGAGAAGGAATTGAAGATTTTGTTTTGTTTCTTGTTTATTATAGCTTGAAATTAACTATAGAAAAAAGGGGCAGATATTGTAAGATTTTTTTCTTCTTTCTGCCTCCTTTCATTTCAATTTGGATTTGTATATTTTTTGTTGCGTATAAAAATAAGTTTTTTTGTTTTTAAATAAAATGAATAAATAAATAAAAAATCTTGGGAAGCTCTGGAGCGAAGGAAGTGAAGGAAGAGACTAGGGGTCTACTCACTCAGGACTGACCGCTGCTTCTGCAGTGTACATGTCTTCACTGAAAGACCCGCCCTGCTCTGCTGAGATTGGACAAAAGTGCTCTGAGGTTCTTCTGATTTGTTGAAAGTAGCATCGCGTTTAAGGGTAGACTGGGTGGTTTTAACAAGACCGCAACAGAAAACAATCTATTATTATTATTATTATTATTATTATTATTATCCTAAGATGACAGAACTCCGTCCTGGTCACGTTCAAAATGACGGAAATCCGTCGTGGCGATGGAGAACTTTAAGCCCTGAACAAGCCAATTAAAAACTAATAAGCACATATGTATAAAAGGTAAATATAAAATATCTGCAAAGTTAAAAACTCCATTTTGTGTAGATTTAAGAAGACAAATCACCCAGATAAACCTTACCCTCAGCAGGCTCTGATAGATGCGATAGCCCACCTCGTCAATGCTGCGGCCCAGCTTTTTAGATAACGAACTAAAGATGGGATCATCTTTAGAAAGAAGTGGAGAGGTCAGGTTCCCTCTCTCCTGTACACCCTAGAAAAAAATAAAATAAAAGTTAGTCAATACTACAAAAAGGTATAAAGATGCTACTGGAAATCTTGTGATTTTGACAAACAAGTTGTGGTTCTCTGTATGTGTGCTTATTTCAGCCAATCCTTCAAAACAATCCAAGCAAAATATCAGAGCTGCCTTTACGTCCTGCATGTGTACCTTTATTTGACAGACCTGACAAAAAAAAAAGTGCTGCCTTTTCATTGTTTTAAACAACAGAGCCATCCTTTGTAATACAGTATACAATGCAAGTAAAACTCTAAAGCAGGCTATGCTGACAGATGAACAGGTTACTGATGTGAGACAAATGCAGACTATCACACATATAAAAGCATGATTAGAGTAAACTATTTCAATAGTTTATATATAATTTTGTCATGTGTACATTTTTCATATGTAAAGTTAAGTGTCCCACAATATGTTTAACACAGCCTTGAAAATTAAATTAACAACTTCTGAAATATGTGAATCCAGCAACAAATAGAAACATTTATGTCCACAATGGCTCATTCTTTTTATTAACTTCACATTTTCTAGCATGACTGCTTTAAACATAATTTCATATTTTGTCATTTATATTCTGGATATATTAGTTTTTAAAGGACCAAATTCAGTTCCAATAAAATTGTAATCACTGATCGGTCTAAAACATGTAAAAAAATTAAAACAAAATGGTTATAAAACATGTTTCTTTTTCCCAGTTCCAACCAACCATTTCAACCCCTTTGGTATACTGAAAAACTTTAAGTGAGCTTATTATTTCTAATAACATATATACTGGGTGGTTTAAAAAAAGATGTAAAGTCTACTAATTACAATGAATGATCCCTATAATTCTAACAATGGATGAAGCTGGTCTCCACTCACCCTGAGATGCTGGAAAGCATGGATACTATAAGGTAGTTCAAAGACTTTTGCACAATCTGGCTTTTCTAGATCTGGGGGCAGAGCGKACCGTGAATCAACATAGTCTTCAGGGCTGCCAAGAGAAGAGGACAGACATGATTATTTCAGAAGGTTATAATAAAACATGCTGTATATATTCAGATTTTCACATCTCAACTCTTTGCTTTGGCAGTTTAAGAGTGCTTACTTGATGTCTTTACTTTCAAAAGAAATATAAGTGCCATCATACAGATCTAGGTCTCCCAGGGGCACCTTRGCCAGTACACAATCTGCATCTTCTTTGTAGTGCCGCTGCTCCAAACCTGTGTCCCGGTCTTCATTCTCCTCAATATGAATCTTCTGTGCTACTAGCTGCTTCTGTTTAGGTATTATTAAAGATAAACMAACACAAAATGAGGTCTACCTCCCCGCTTATTGACATTATTAGACAGAGATCTTAAAAATGGGGGGAGAAAAAAGGGGGAAACTTCAACACACCTCCAACTTCTTGAGGTAGTTCACTCGAGTTTCTTGCCTCATCAAGATCACAACATCGTGTGGGTGTTTTAAATTTAAAGGAGAGTCCACCTGAAACAACAGTAAAATCGTAGATTTAGATATTTGTGTACAAAACAGTCAGATATGCTAATTTAATCTGTCAGCCAGTACCAAACTTGTCACTTGACACAAAAACAAACACGAGTTGTCACAGCAGATGACAGTAGTTGGCATCAAATCACTCAGACATTTAATATCTCTCTGGTACTTGGTTTTCAAAGACAAGATATGTGGGGTTGAAAATATCTTGTTTTTTTATAATTATGTAGGTATTATTATTATTATTATTATTATTATTATTATTATTATTACGGTAACTTCCTAGCTAGGTCAGGTGACTTAACAGATTTATTAAAGTACACATTCGGGTCCCTAAACATGGAGAATATCGGAGATGACGCGTGTTTTTGACTATAATAAATACTACAACTACGCTACCACACAATATACAGAACAAATATGTTTCTAATTCCAATACAAAAGTTAGCATTGCAAGCTAGCCTCATAAGCGTTAGCAAGTCAATGGGCTAACTGGCATACTTGTTGTTGAATTTTCCCGTCCTCCGTGACAACCCAGTGAGTCGTAGCTCCTCCGGAATCCACTATAAGCGCACAAAGAAAGATGAAAAGCCGCCCTTGAAACGACGTTTTCCGCGTGTAGCCGACACGGCTGGGCAAAGACTCGGGACAGATTTTCCTGAGCTCCGCCATTTTTTCATTCCCTGCAGCTCTGTCGCACCAAAGGTCTCCTGCCACGCGGAGGCGCTCGCGTGTCTGACAACCGCACAAAATTCGTCAGGTCATCTTCGGTGACGTTCGGGAAAACTAAAAAAACAGGAAATCAAAAACGAAAACTTCGAGCCTTTTGTACGGGCTAAAGTGGGTGAACTTACAGAATTTTGTCAGCTTTCACAGACGCAGGCACATCGCTGCAGCCGCAGACCTGTGTGTGTGTTTCCTTCACGAACAGAAGCTTTTGCTCGTAAGTTTCTTTTTTGTAGCTTTTATGTCACTAGGTTCCAGTTCCGCATCTGAGGCATGGCTGTCATGAAGGGACAAAACTAGCACTTCTTAGAAAATAAGTATGGATAGAAAACAGTGTCAACTTATTTAAAATCTAAAGAGTTGGAAGTTGTTACTTTATCTGAAGGAAATGTATCTTTTCTTTTCTTTTTCTAGCCTTTAATTTAAAATATTGTTTTGTATTAGTGTAAACTACATATTACACGTGATATGCTTCAAGTTTATTAACAAATCCTTGTTAAGACTGGGCTGAAAAATAAGTAAATAACTTTTATGTCTACATTTCCAATGGAGTAATTTAATGGTTAAACATGTTTCAAAAACATGTTATTACATGTTTCAAAAACATGTTATTTTTTAGACTATTTTTAAAATAACTAAGGAAGTTTACCAGAGGAAGTTCAAATAGGCAGTTAACTGGATGAGTTGAGAAAAGTAGATTTTTTCAAACTTAATTTTCACCCTGTGTCCATCTATTGATTGATTCGTTGATTCAAGCCAAATGCATTATATTGAGCCATTTCTTTGAGAATTATTTTTGCAATGTTATGGACTCATGAACAGCTTAATTACCTCACCTGCACACTCTTCTGAAAATTTACTTAATATAGCTGNACACACACACACACACACACACACGACTTCCCCAGTATTTGGGATTATTCTTATTTGTGTATTTTTAAATATTTTTTTCCAGAAATAAAGTAAGTTAATATGGTTACCAATATATTATTTATAACATCTAATACAAATGTATGTATATTTCTTTTTCAGCTATTGTTTCTTCAGTTCCACAAATGTCGTGCTTTGAGAGCACYAAGGGGAGTCTGGAGGAGGACAGCTATGACGGAGCAGTTGGTGGAGAGCTGTCCGACTGTGCCTTGGCAATGATGGAGAAGGAACGAGAATCTCTTCTAAGCCCTTCGGAAAGTCCTGGCACCTTCATGAGCACCTCCTCCAGCAGTCTTCAGCCTGCTGCCCCCCTTCAGGGCTATGACGTCGAGTTTGACCCACCCCTAGAGAGTAAATACGAGTGTCCTATCTGCCTCATGGCTTTGAGGAATGCCATACAAACACGCTGCGGTCACCGCTTCTGCAAGAGCTGTATTGAAAAGTCTATTCGGTAGGTTATCGCACCCACTCTGCCTTTAACACTGTAATACACTGACAAAGGTCTATAATGCAGTTGTTACCACCAAACTCAAGGTGCACTTTTAAATATTGTTTCTTCTTTCAGAAGAATTAGAGCAATTCATCATTTAGAAAATGTCTAAACAATGCAACATCTTTGAGTAATTTTCCTGCTCAAATATAAGGCCCYCATGCGGAAACCGATAAAATCATGGCTTTGCCTCAATAATCGTTATTTTTCCTCTTGCAAAACAGTGATACAGGACAGCGGTGCCCTGTGGACAATGAAATGCTGTCAGAAGACCAACTGTTTCCTGATAACTTTGCCAAGAGGGAGATTTTATCGCTAACTGTTCGCTGTCCAAAYTCTGGCTGCGGTGAGAAAATGGAGCTCCGGCAATTAGAGGTTAGAATTTGAAGTGACAGACGGTCCACACTCCTCACTCCCTTTTATGTTGTCAAATGACATTGAGCTACAAGATCAAACTAATTATTGAAAGGACCTTTGGATTTTTATGTTGTTTGTTCTTTTTTTTTTTGTAGAAAAACTTAGAAAGCACTTAAAAGAGATTCAATCTCAGTTGGATTTGCTTGGTTAAATAAAGGTCAATAAAATGACTACGTCTGCACAATATATTAAACATTTATTGTCCTCTGAAWATAATATTACAGTATATATTATCTGTGAGCCTAGTGTCAATATTGCCAAAGATTGCTTTGACTACAATCAATTATAGACCATAATGTTTGAAGTACCATGTGTTCATATTCTGCATTCTGATAATCCGACAGACTGGCTTTGTCCCAACACCTGCTCTGTGTCCAAATTCAGAGGCCGGGTCCTTCGAAGGACCCGGCCTACCYGGTCTAGGTGGACGAAAACCGGAAAAAAGCTGGCTGTGAATTTGGACGGTCTAGCGTCCCGCCCTTAGCCTGGCGTATGTCCTGTCGCTTATCAACTGTGACAAYRCTAAACAGAAGCAAAAATAGATCGAAATTAGCAAAATATGAATATATTAGTTTGAATAATATCACAAAACTACAAAATTAGATTAAAGGCAATATTTGTATGTGCACATTTATTTTGTTATACTAGCTCATTTGATTTCTGACAAGAATAATATTTAAAACATGTCTATACAAATGACAAAATATTAACAACACAACTGCTTCAAACTTAATATTTATACTGCCAGTTTTTTATTTAAAACTACTTCTTTCTCTGGCTTCATCCGCYRTTACTAGCAGAAACAAAATCTCCGGTAGCCCACAATGCATTATGGGATAGGGTGGGCCCAGAAGGATCCATCCTGTCCTATAATCGAAGCAAAGGGAGAATGTGTTTGCCAACTGGAAGAGGAAGAGACTTCAAATTTGGACAGCCTCTGGAGCGACGCTGTGATGTAAGCAGCCAACATATTCGGTATATCATCATTACGGTATATCATTACTATGGTTTAGTCCACTATGTTTTACTATGAAAAACTTAAGGTATTTGCTTAAGACTTAAGCACAAATAACCATATATATTTCATAGTAAAACATAGCRGACTAAACCACAGTAATCAATTTAGTTAAATAAAAAATGAATCAGAAAAACACATAATCACATAACTCAAATAACATTTGATTAAAACAAAGATTTGTGTAAAGCAAATAAAGAAACATTGGAACAATATTCTTTTTGTGTGTTTTTTCTTTTTCTTAATTATAATGTAAGAAAATAGGTTGTCATTATTTTCATTATGTAACCTTGATTTATAAAACAATAATAACTTTTAGTTAAAAGAAAATATAAATCAAAAATATAAAGAACATTTTTAAGTTGCTTATTATCTTGATTCAATTAAATAGAATAAACTAAAATGTCTCTTCTGAGGGAGGTCTTCGGAGACCAGGGTCAAAGACAGGTGGAAYGGTTTATTCCACCTCGAGGTGACCACTACACAAYACTGAGACTTTTTTCTGCCACACTTTAATCTAGAAAAACAAAACAACAAAAACGTTTGATTTTTTTTTACYGCGTAGCCCTAATACACTGGCATACTTTTCTTTCACCACATCTCCTGACAGTGCTCTCAACCAACTATTGAATTTACACATAATCAACCTATATTTCTGCCCTCTAATTTACCAGTGGTCTCTTTTTTTGAATCTTTTCATGTACACATGACACGAAGTAGGAATGAATGATGTGCTTGATCATATGGATTAGTAAAACAGTGCAATTGCCCTTAGAGTTTTAAACAATTAGCAGCTACTCATCTGAGGTATAAAATTAATTCTATCTCATTTTTGTCTCTTTCAGAATCATTTGGCACAGTGTCAGTTTGCCACCATGCTTTGCCCACTGTGCCAGCAGGCTGTGAGAAAAACCAACCTAGAGGAGCACAAGACTGTCGAGTGCCAAAAACGACTTGTCTCATGTCCAGACTGTGTGACAAGCTTTTCTTACGAGGAGAAAGAGGTACCATTGTCTTACTTAGATTAAACTGTGATGGGGAACGGTATTAGTCCCCTTATARTCTTGTTTTCTTTGTCCCTTCAGCTTCATGAGCAGCAGTGTCTTTTTGCCAATGTGAAGTGTCAGTACTGTGAGCTGGAACTCATCAGAGACCAAGTGAGTACCTTGGTGTCTGCCATTTAGAGAGTGTCTGGTGAATAAAATGGCTTTGAAATGTTCAGTAAACACTAACTCAGCAACTGCTTCCCTATCATTGGAGCAGTGAGGAACTGGCCCAGACCTAGTCTGATGCTTCATTGTTTGTTTTATTTTCAGTTTGAAACAGGAAATGAGTTCAAATTGAAGTTCCTTTGTTACATTTGTCCATTTTATTTTTCTCAAAATGTGTCTCCTCATCATCTGGTGTGTTTTTTCCTCAGATGGAATCCCATTGTGATGCAGATTGCCCCAAAGCACCTATTGCCTGTAATTTTAGCATGTTTGGATGTAAGGAGAGGGTAGGTTACACAGTCCTGAAACATATTAATTGAAAACTTGATTTAACTTAATCTGTCACATGCACAAGACATGTTTTGTTWAAAAAAATGCTTTGGCCTTTTGCAGATGCAACGCCATGACCTGGCCCAGCACATGCAGGAGTTCACACAGATGCACATGCGCTACATGGCTGAATTTTTGCGTGGCTTCTGCCTCAACGGCACCACGCCCAAACCTTTGCAAATGCTTGGCCCTTCCGTTTCCACCGAGGACCAGGGCGCTGCGGCATCCGTGCCAGCCAGCGGTGGGCTCAGGAGAGCTGCGAGCTGCAGCATCAACACGACATCGTGTCAGCCCAGCGAGGAGATGCAGAGGCTCAGAGAGATGGATGGACGACTGGTAAAGCAGGATCACCAGCTGCGCGAGCTTATCATCTTGAAAGAGACGCAAGTAAGAAATGACCCAGTTTACTCAAGTGTTAGTACAGCATATTGGTGTTTTTTTAAATTGTTTATTGAAAATCAAAGCTTTTATTAATGATTTAGAAAACTTAAATAATAGATTTTTTTGCTTTGYATGTCTATTTGAAATTTGATAATGTATTAACGCTTTTAGAAGAACAAAGATGTGCAGTCACGCTGTGTCATTTAGGAGTCTGATTCATTWAGAATTATGTCACTTTTGATTATAAATACATTTAATAGTTCTTTTATTGTATTAAAGTCTATGTTGAACCATATTGCCTAGATTAGACACTTCAGAAGGCAAAGCCAGAGCAGTAATGTTTTTGCCTGAGTCTGTGTGTGTGTTTGTCCGTACCGTTATCAAGTACAATTAGCAAAATATCTCAAGAATTTAATGAAATCTTCTGAATGCAATCACTGGATTTACATTTACAACTTATTAACTTTAGAGTCCACTTAATTCAAAATTATCACCASTTCTAATCAAACTTAGCCTTTAACGGCTACTAGAAGGCATGACCTCATCATTCCAGTTTTAGCAGGCTGCCTGTTTGTTTTTGCATTCATTTTAGGATGTTTTACCCACCTTTTAAAGTTTTAAAGGGATCCCCTATTAGTTGTAACATTAGACTTTATTTGAAAAACATATAAATAACTGTAAAATAAAGACTAAAAATACTGTAGGATGTTTAGTTTTTATAATTTTCAAATTAATAGTCTAGAAATAAATTACACGAATGGGGCCATTTTATTTACACGCAAAGCATTCTGGGTAAATGATGACATGGATAGGTCCTCGGTGCGAGGCTGCTAGCGAGCTATATCCACCCTGAAGGTTAATCTTGGACAATATCTGACGATAGGCTCTTTTAAATGAAACCAGAGAGCGTTGACAGAGAGGAGAAGGTAGAAATGACTCAGCCTGTAACTGAAAATATAGATGGAGGACAACAGAGCTGCTTCATGGAAGAAGAACCTCAGCTTAGCCTGTTAGCTTTAGCATTAGCCCCGATACTATCACCATATATATGTATTAGCTCAGCGCTACACATTCTTCTCTCATCACTGAGGTCCTCCATCCACATGATAGATAGGGGAGCACAAAAATGACTCAGTCTGCAATTGAAAATATGGATGGAGGACCTCAGTTTAGCTTGTTAGTTAGTCGTGCTAGCACCGAGCTAATACATATAAGGCAATATAGCGTTGGCGCTAGCGCAAAGGCTAACAGGCTAAGCTGAGGTTGTTCTTCCATGAAGCAGCTCTGTTGTCCTCCATCCATATTTTCAGTTACAGGCTGAGTCATTTCTACCTTCTCCTCTCTGTCAACGCTCTCTGGTTTCATTTAAACGAGTCGATCATCAGATATTGTCCAAGATTAACCTTCAGGGTGGATATAACTCGTTCACACCGAGGACCTATCCACGTCATCCTTTACCCAGAATACTTTGTGTGTAAATGAAATGGTTCTGTCCATGTTAAAAAATATTTTTAAAAATTTACAAAACTAAACAGCGTATAGTATTTTTACAGTCTTTATTTTACACTTAAAATAAATGTTTATCAATTAAAGTCTAATGTTACAACTAATCAGGGATCCCATTAAGTGGTTTGGTACCCCGAAAAAGCACTAAGACTTTCCATCCAGAGAGGATTGGGCTTTTGCAGTGGCGGGCCTCAGACTCAACCTGCCTGATGAGTAACGAGTCTAAACTATGGATGGGCAGGCCACTGCGTGTTTTACTTGTTTCTCTGCTTCAACACATCTGATTCAGCCTGTTAATCACCCACTCATTTAGATCAGGTGTGTTGGAGCAGAGAAATCTTTAAAACATGCAGGATAGTGGCCCTCTCCAGGACCAGGGTTGGCCATATCTGGTCAATACAGTCTTTGAAATCTGGCCTAAAAACTCAATTTTTGACACTGGCTTTCAGTTTAAGTTCAATCAGATCTTTTATTTTAAGGCGTTTCCACATTTTAATTTGTTTTTAGCCCATTTTATTGTACTTGTTGGTTTTTATTTGTGACTTCATTGAATTCATTTGGTTTTCTGTTTTGATTTGATTCATCTTGTATAACATTTTGGTCAACCTTGCTATATAAGTAAAATTGACACTGACAGTTGACTCTGGCACACATAAAAATAGCTACACTTCAGCAGATTTTACAGATATTAAGACTTGGTGTGTACTACACATACTCAAAGCTCTAATAGATAATAGTTTGCATGCAATATTACGTTCAAGATTTGACCAAAGTGGCTATAACTCTATCATTTCTCATAGAGTAAAGCTCTGGCATGAAAAGCAGCAGGTGACATGCATTCATTTATGGAATACTAGGTTTTTAATTGTAGTCTAATTTCAAACACGTTCTTTTTTTTCCCTTGTATAATTCATATTTCATGTTGCTGTCGGGCTTTACAAATATTTAATATTTCAAGTTTATTTTCAGGTCAGCAAGCTTCATTTTTTTTCCTCAAGTGTGTGCCCTGCAGAAAAAAAAGTCATATATTTCTTTATTTGAAAGRTCTCGGACACTTTGTGAGTCATTCCTGTCAGAATGTGTTCAACCTTCTGTTTCACATGGAATCACCTGCTGCTTACTCATCTACTCATCAGCGATGTGACATTAGTGGCCCAGGAGGCTCTGAATGATTTCATTTTCTTAAAATAGCTAATGTTCTGCATCTTCTTTGTTTGTGAGAAGACAGTTGTTGTGTTTGTGCCTTAATCTGAAGCCTTGAATACATTACAGACACGCTACGTTCGAATTTTTAAAAAGTGCGATGAGTGATTAAAATGCAGACATGCACTCGTGCTTTTCAACACCAAAGGCAAACACAGCCCGAGTTGTATTTTTCGGTTCTAACTGCATCCAGAGGGGTACTTGTATATTTTTATTTTAGTAATGAGCTTTACCTTTAGAGACAGTGGGGATTAAATAAAGCTAAGGAGCTATTTCGTGGAGGTGTATGTACTGTGAAAAACTAAACGTGTGTCCTGTTTCACACACAGGCAGGGCAGCTTGCAGAGCTCAGGCGTCGGGTGTCTGTGCTGGARGAAACGATAAAGGAACTAGAGTCCCAGCAGTGTCACGGCATCTTCATCTGGCCCCTCAGAAGGTTCTCAGCCCTCTGGCGCAACCAAGAAACAGGAAACTCGGTGGTCGAGCACAGCCCTGGCTTCTACACWGGTCGTCCAGGCTACAAGCTGTGTCTGCGTTTGCACCTGCAGAGCCCCAACGCCCCGCGCTGTTCCAACTACATCTCYCTCTTTGTCCACACCATGCAAGGAGCTTTTGACGGGCAGCTAACCTGGCCGTTCCAAGGCAACATCCGGCTCGCCATWCTCGACCAGGGACCCGAGCCTCAGCACCACGTGGAGGTCATGGAGACGAAGCCGGACCTGCAGGCCTTCCAGAGGCCCACCATTAACCGCAACCCTAAAGGATTTGGCTATGTCACCTTTATGCACCTGCAYCAGCTGAATCAGAGACCGTACATTAAAGACGACACGCTCTTGATTCGCTGTGAGGTTACGCCACGCTTTGACACTGTAGTTCATCGCGAAGGACCAACAGTACAGCCAAGAGGACCTGAAGCATCTATTTCAAAAGACTAAAGCTCATTGTTGTGGTGGTATGTAAAGTTTGTCTTTGGTGTTTCAGTATTTGTTCAGTTAGTATCATGGACATCAGAGGAAAACTGACACCCACAGTCATTTATAGAAGCTCCAGTGCTAGTATTTATTTGTTTTCCATCTTCAAAATATCTTAGGTTTTTATTGTTTTTAAATTGATTTAGTGGTATGCAAGTTTGTCTCAAAAGGCCTGATGTTGAAAATGTGTCATACATAGGCCACAGTATCACTCAGCGGTAACACAATTTTACATAGAGTGAGTTTGTTGAGTTAGATTCAATTAAATTCATGGCCCGTGGACACAGTTTTAATTTTGGTATACAAGTGGGTGTTGCAAAATTATCCTATTTTGTATCCATTCTCCACTGCTTTAGAGGCAACAGGTCCAGGACCATGTGTTAAATTACTGACAGTGTAGTAATAATGCAGAGTCACATCTGTGTTTTCTTTCCTGTAGGGTGTGGAGGTTTTGATTTTGTGCAGGATCTATAGACTGTGTTTTAGTGGTAAGAGTGACCCATTGAAGAGTTTATTGCACATTCTAATTGACACGTTAGTCKATGAAATTACATTTTTAATATTAAAGTTATGCTTTTCGCTTTATTGCCTCACATCCCAAATACAGTACAGTACAAGGTTTTCAGTTATGAAAAATATTAATGTGCTCATTCAAACATGTTTCTTTTCTTTCAGTTTTCTGTGCATGGTGAACGTAGCATCATCAGAATCCAGACTAAAGATTTCAGTTTCTAATTGTGGTTGTAAGACACAAAATTGGGCTCGTGGTATTTTTAAACAGAACAGTGAAAAGAAAAGTTCTATATTATGCTACAACAGTGGAAACATAGAATTTCATGTCCAATTCATTCACAACATAGCCCAGGTGTTAGTGGGTGGACTCTGCTCCAGCATAGGTCTATGGTCCATCACAGGTCCAACATTCAAAAAGACTCAAAACATTTTCATAGAATAGATATTGTGTGGTTTAATTTGACCGTTTACACTAAAACTGTACCGCACCTCATTTAACATAAAGAACATTGTAAAAAATCTTAAATGTATGTGCTGTTCAAAATTATTTTTTAATTTTTTAAAAGAAATCCTTGTGGCTTAATCTACACAAATTTAGTATAGAGATGTTGTCAGCTTGGAAGATTTTCTGTTATGCAGTTCTGCTTTGTTTTTTTTTTTKTTTTGTTTTTTTCAGCATTCAGCACTCATGTTTTTTTTTTTTCTCTTCTGCGCACACACATTACTTATGACAGAATGCACAGTACAATGTGTTTCACACAAGTGCCTGGCTAATGTGATCAAGTCAAGTATTTTATTTTTTATGGTTCTGTTCTACACATACAAAAATACAACATAATAACTCAGTGTTGTTGTTTTACAGTAAACATGCTGCTTTGACCCTGATTTGTTTTCCATCTAATGATTTTAGATCATATCTTTAGTGGATCGGTGCTTTATAACTCATTAGTTTTGAGATTTTTTGACTCTGCTSTTCACACTTTATACTAAAAAAATAAAATAAAAAAATCCCTCACATTTTAACCCAGAAGTGACACGTTTGAAAATGCTGTATTGTTGCAACCTACTGAAATAAAAATTGCTTATTTTTTATTAGTTTCATTTAAGCCAAATCTGACTTACTTCATTTAAAAAATGACATTTTGTGGTTCTAAGACAAGCTCCCCACTTCTTTTGCCCTATCTTTTTGTACTTGTTATATGGTATAGTGCCCCTTTTCTTTTGGGATTAAAGGATAATAGTCATCCAGCTCTTGAGCTGAGGATTGAGGGGGGCACTTTGAAGGCGAGATGACACGCTTTAATCACTCCAAGAAAAGGGACATAGACTTTCCTGGATGAAAAATATAAGGACCAAGAGGAGGAACTAGGATTGTGTCAGTGTTTGGATCAATGTGTGCCTTCGTGCTACAAGTTACTATCATTTATTTCTATTCGTCAATGTAAGGAAATTTCTTGTTGGCTCCATATCCCGGGGGACCAGGTTTGGTTTCTCTCTCTTCTTGTTTGGCTTCTTTCTCTGGATGACTCTGAGGCGTGTCCACAGTGCTGCCTGTTAGAGATGCTGAAAGGTCATGCAGTTTTAACATACATGCAGCAATGACTTTGTTGTCTTGAAATGAGCACTTAGAAGGTTTTCCAGTTTCTGGCTTTTTACTCACTTGGAGCTTTTGGGACTTCTTTTCCACATTTAAGTGTGCTGTTAGCAAAGCATTCTGCCATCCAGGACAGCACCTCTCCACAATATCTGACCTAAAGAGGAGATCAAAATGCAGTTTGCCAGAGTAAATACACATTTTAAAAGAAAAACACAACCAGTGATAAATGTTGCTCTTCGTCTACCTGAGCTTCCATGGATGCCAGTCGTTTCTCTTGGTCCTTAAATCCTCCAACAATCTTCAGCAAGCTTTGAACCCTGCAAACATGATGAAATTAGTGATAAACACCAATGCATTGAAACACCCTTACTACTGTGGTGTAGTGGTTGGGGGAGTAAGTGGAGGGTTTCAGATTCGATCCCCCTTTCCAGCCGTCTCAATGTGTCCTTGGGCAAGACACTTCTCCCACCTTGTCTACTGATGGTGATYAGAGGGTCCGGTGGTGCCTGTGCATGGCAGCCCTGCCTCTGTCAGTGTGCCCCAGGGCAGCTGTGGCTACAATGTAGCTTACCATCATCAGTGTGTGAAAGGGTGAATGTAGAGTAAAACGCTTTGGGGTCTGATGGGCCTTGCTAATGCACATTATAATTTCAGACCATTTACTATTTTGTTCAGTTTACATCAACATTTTCTTTGTTTTTACAACTTAAACAACTTAGTTTTTTTATTTATTTTTTTTTTTTTAAGGAGGCAGGGAGGGGGGTGCAGAGCGGAGCAAATATATCAAAACATTGCAGCTCAATCAGAAATAGTGTGATATAATGTTTGGCTGAAGTACTTTGCATATCACAGACAGAATTTGCAACACAACTGCAATAATGTTTCTCAAGCATTAGGTGAAAGTGAGAAAACTTATAGCTCAGGCATTCCTCACAAGAAGAACATTATTCAGAGTTGGACTATATTTGTTTGAAATGGGCCATTTCACTTGTCTTATCTCCTGCACAAAATGTAGAAAGAAAACAAAATGTGGATCTATATCTTTCTTCTGTCACTCACAGTTCAAGAATTGATAAGGTGCAAGTTTTATTTTTCAGAGCGACTGTTTAAAGTTTACGTTTCATTCTATTTCTGTGTGTTTTAACTTGAGAGTGCTGCTGTCAGGGAGTGACAGTCGCTGTGTAGTCGCCATGGTGACTTTATTAAGCCTTTGGCAGCATCTTTAACATTTCCTTTGATGTCCTGATGCATCTCAGTAATCCAGGTAAAAAATCAAAAAGAAAAAAAATTGTATAGGAGGTCTTCTGGACGGGTTCTTCTCTAATGAAACATTTCGTCTCTTCCCCAAGAGACTTCTTCAGTCTGAGAGTTTCAGGCAAAATTCAGGCTTTTAAGCCCTGCCTCCATGTGACTGATACTCACATCACATGGCTATTGTTGACACCTAATTAACACTTATTGTTAACAGGGGGTGGAGTGATACTGGCAATAGCCGCACTGTATGAGGGGGACAACTGAAAACGGAGGCCTCCACCTCTGTTTAATGATTCCTTTGATGTTTGTGCTTGTGTTTCAGTTTGTCCACCAGACAGAGACATATTGTTAACTTAGATTATTRTGAGGTTGACGGGTTTTGGGGTAGCAGCTGCACTGACGCCCTTTAAAATATGTTTGATTAATTTTTTTCTGTTTGTTGTGGTGGTGGGGGGGTGATCTGTATAGGCACTATTCATATAGTATCTGTACCACAATCAAGTAACTATGTTACCTTCAGTTGTTATGCAATTGCTTTACATCAAAACAAATCTGACTTTACATCATAGCCTATGTAAATGCCTTGAAATTGGCCTCTGTCTCTTTCAGAACCTCCTACCATTTCTGACACTCCCACTTCAGCACGTTTTCAAACAATGCTTTGGGGTTGGGGTGCTCTGTGGTGGGAGCTCGGCTGGGGACTGAGTTCTAAGGAGGAGCTAGGTACAAACAGGCGGTGCTTTGTACTAGGAAGCGTTTAGACTGCTCCAAATGGCTACCACAGTGAGATTCAATGATTTCTCAACGTGTAAGGGATAATGCCTCTTCTCATGCATGAATGAGTCAAAGCAACACTCTGAGAATGTTTTTGATGAAGGAATGACATAAAGCTCATAAAAGTTGATTTTGCCTAACGCCCCGCATTTAATTTTTTTGTGAGCTTTAACCCTAAACCAAAGTATTGCTCTGGAACCTGTTGTCACAATATTTGTAACTGTAACTAGGATTTCGTTATTGAAGTTGAAATGCACTAAAACCATTTAACTTTTTTGTTATTTCCAAAACTGCATACTGAATAAAGGTAACTTGATTGGGCACGCAGCTGTGGTGTCAGAATGAAGCTCAGAGCTGATTTGCAATCAGCCAATCAATCATGTGTACCACGTACAGGTGAGGGGCTTGCCACACATTTTGGGCTCTGAGAGTCTATATAGATGAACCTATTTGGTCAAAAGAGGTGTCAATTGAAAGAAAACAACCAAGTGAATTGTTTGAACAGCTTATTATGAAAATTCAAAGTCCCTGGTAGGCTATAAAGAGGGAGGAAGTAACCACAAACTGGGGATGTACCGTGGGCAGTATATTAATGGTTAAGGTTAAAAGAAGACATAGGTTGGTGTTAATGTTTTGAAGGAGACGGAAAGTACAATAAAAACAATGTTAAAGTTCACAGTTGTTGTTTTTGTAGAACTGTGATTACTTTGAGGAGGTACTCTTGAGTCTCTCCTCGCTGCTCTCCCAGTGCTGGCGTTCCAGTTTTGCCAGGTAATTCTCCTTCTGTACTGTTTCCCATGTTATGAGTCTCTGGTCCAGTCCTACTGGCAGCTCCCTCTCTGACAACACACACACAAAATATTATTGCAGAAGCTCACACAGAGAGTGGCAGAGAAATACCCAAACAGAAATCTATAAAGATAAAAGGTAAGGCACAGAGAAAACTAGACTGCTTTGAAATATTTCACTGACACGAGCAACAGGGAATGCCTTTAAAGTCCCTAATGGAAACACAGTTGTAGAACTTTCATACCAAGATGTTCTTGCTTGGACTCAGGTCTTTTTATCAGGCTGAGAAAAAGCTGAGAGAGGTGGCTAATGATGATGAAAGGTGGGGCCAGTGCTGGACGACTGTAGTATTCCACAATCAGGTTATATCGCTGAAACTTCCAGAAAATATCTGTATTACCCTGAACTACCTGAAAGGTGTAGCTGTAAATTGGGATACAAAACAGACAAATCAGTAGTGCTAATTCTATTAATTTTTGTTTGTTTGTTTTGTAATTCACAAACAAGCAGCAAATGAGTGAAATTAGAAATAATTACATGAATGGTTTTCTGGATGGTCAGCGCCTTACTAACCTGAACATGGCAATGAGGAGGTTGAGCAGCAGAACATTGGTGACAAGAAGGAAGATAACTAGCAGCAGAATGACCAGCCAGTTGGCGTAGAYGTTGGGACATGGCGGTCGTAGTCCCATGACAATTTCCTCTGAGTCATTGGTACAGTTCATCTCAGGCATCCGAGCAGCTGGGGTCCATTTAAAAGAAGAAGAAGAAAAAAATCAAATCCTTTAGGGGAAAAAACTATTCCTGGCATAACAGCATGTGAAATAATAAAGGATAGCAATACATAAAACTGTTTGATAAATTCCAGGTATTTGCAGGGTACATAACAAGTATTGTGTATGTATTACTTACTTAGTACTTAAAAAGTATCTGAAAATTACCTGGTTCATGGCAGGTACATACCCAGTACTTACATGGCATTTCTGGGTTTGTATCTAGTATATTCCTAGCTCATACTAGGATATGTGACTGATATTTCCGCAAAACAGGCTATATTATAAAATGWCTTGTTACTTTAGGCTATGTACCTGTTCAATTTTGGGTACTTACCTGGAATGTACATGGTACATACAGGGTTATGWACCTGGTACATATGCTGTATGCACCAAATACATAGTAAGTACCAGGCTAATACATGCTAAGTAAGTACCAATAGGAACTAGTTAAGCAGTCGGTCTATACCAGGTAAGTACGAGGTATATACTCAATGTGTACAAAGTACATGGTACAAACTAGGTGAGTACATGGTAAGAATTCAATATTACCTGATAAGTTAAATACTGTACATGTGTTGGCATTACTTGGTATGTATCAGGTAAAGTACCAGGTAAATGCCATGTACAAACAAGATAAGAATCAGGTGTGTTACTGGTACATACCAAATAAGTWCCAGGTACGTGCCAGGCAAGTACCCAGTACTTTCCCAGTTTGCATCAAGTTTTACAGCAAAAACTATTTTTCCACACTTTACCATCTATCTCTTCCAAGGGGATTTGACCAAAAATGTGCAGATAAGGGCGATATAAGGCTCGGCGAAACACCCAGTCAATCCTTGGGTCGTTGGGATGAAGAAGAGCCTGGGTGGCGACTCCATACGCAATAAGCCACACACTCAGAAAAAAGAGGAAGAAGAAAACATCCTTCATCTGTAAGACACAGGGTTATTATAGTTAATTAAAACTAACTAAATAACGAAAACTGAAATTGAAAAAAAAAACATTATAATTAACTAAAATAAAAAACTGCAATAAAATGAAAAAAATGATAACTAAAACTTTATATATATATATAT